TTTTAAAGTTCCTCTAAGAAGCATTAAATTTGAATGCCTATCATGAGTTATTATTTAACCACTAGAGGATTAATTGTTGGAGAGGATTAATTGTTGGATTCTAGGAACTTGAGTTGGCAGAGAAGCATCTGACAGAAAAGATTCAGGATGTGTATTCAGATGACTTGGACCAAAATTTTGGCTGCCCTAAATTCTTTGAGCTTTGTTTTCCTAATCTTTGAAGGAAGGTTGATTATGATGTCTGCCTTGCCTATGTTGTAAGAATGTTGTATAAAATCATATCTAATTAATACATGCTACCTTGTTCTTTAATGCTTTTGAAGGTGCCAATGAGTCAGGAAAGTGAATATAAATAGAGTGAAAAAGAATGTTAATTTTTGATGATTTTACCCAAGACTGGTCTGTAATGCTTATTTGGAGACTCAAAAGTACAACAGAAATTTAAACTGTAGTTTCTGTAGGAAGCTTACACCTAGAGTGTGCCACCTTTAATTTATGCATCTGTTCATCCATCTAACCAACCGTCCAGCAAACAATTATCTACCACCTGTCCCATGCCTGGTGTGGAAGTAGCAGAAACTTATGAAAACCCACTATCCTTTCACCCCCCAGGCTAATTTTGGGAGTCCCAGAGTTATGGACTATATGAGAAATCTTTAAAAGGTTAATGGGAAATGCATATTATGTAAAAAACTATGCATGGATTTCAAAAAATTTTGCACCCAAATAAACACATTCTAACTTGTAAGAACATATCTGAACAGGATCTAGTTTGAGACACCAAGAAGGATAAGACATCCATTTGAAAAGAGCCCTTATCAGAGCAACATGAATTCTGCTAAAATTGAAACAAGAACAAACATCAAATTTATGGTGAAGCTTGTGTGGAAGAACACTCAAATCATTGATGCTTTATGAAAAGTTTGTGGGAACAATGCCTCCCCACCCCCATAAAATCAGCATTTTACAAATGGATAACTCATTTGTAGGAGGGATGAGATGATGTTGAAGATGAAGTCTGCAATGGCAGACCATCCACATTTATTTGCAGGGAAAAATTAATCTTGCTCATGCCCTGATAGAAGAGGACATCTAGCTAACAGCAGAAACAATAGCCAGCAACACAGACATCTCAACTGGTTCAGCTCACACAATTATAACTGAAAAATTATAGTCGAGCAAACATTCTGCTCAATGGGTATCAAAACTGTTGACCAGCTCAGATACAGACAAGAGCGGAGCTTTCAATGGAAATTTTAAACAAGTGTGATCAAGATCCTGAAGCACTTAATCAAAGAATTGTAACAGGAGATGAAACATGGCTTTACCAAACAAAGCTCAACTAAACCCATGGCTTCTAAGAGGTGGAAATGGTCCAGTCCTAGCAAAAGTAGATCAGTCACGAGTAAAGGTCATGACAATGGCTTTATTGGATGCTCAAGGCATTTTTCTTGTTGACTTTGTGGAAGGCCAAAGAACAATATGGCTGCTTATTATGTTTTGGAAAAGGTGGACAAGGTTTTAGCAGAAAAAAACAGAGTTCTGCTTCACCACGACTATCCTCCTGCTCATTTCTCTCATCAAACAAGGGAAATTTTGTGAGCATTTCAATGGGAAATCATTAGGCATTCACCTTACAGTCCTGATATGGCTCCTTCTAACTTCTTTTTGTTTCTTAATCCTAAAAAGTATTTAAAGGACACCCTTTTTTTTTTCCGTTACTAATGTAAAAAAGACTGCATTAACATGGTTAAAGTCCCAGGACCTTCAGTTCTTTGCGGAAGGACTAAATGGCCGGTATTGTCACTCATAAAATGTCTTGACCTTGATGGAACTAATGGTGAGATACGCAGTTCATATATATGTATTTTTTTTTTCATTCTTTAATTCCATTTTTCCATGAACTTTTTGAAGTCCTCTCATATTATCCTCATTAACTGAGTTTTCTTCCATTTAACATTTTCAGGCTACTGTTTCCCAAAATGTACAGGTCCGTCATTGAAAATATCTTTCTCATCAAAAAGCCAAAAGTTTCCTCAAGCCATAAGAGATATAATTTTTATGAAAGAACCTAGAAAATTATATGATAAATTACAAATTCTTAACACACATTCAGGCATATGTGCGTGCATTTATTATTTACTTATTTGGCAGGAGGGGCATGGAAAACAGCATGAATATATGACATGTGGAGGGACGTGTGGAGTAGGCATCCAGATCATTGGGAAAGAGTTAAAAATAAGCAATTGGTACTTGTTATTTCAAGCATCTTAGATGTCTTCACAAAGGTTACAGTAAAATTGATTTTTTTAATTATTTTGATTATAAAAAACATCAAAAAGATGCTACACACTGGTCTTACATGCCTGTTTGAAAACCCAATGTGTAAACATCATGTATAAGTTTTATGCAGTTTGAAGAACACTATTTTAGGGTTTTCTTCGTTCACTTTGCATGACCTTTATCTAGTCTCAAAAATTTAACAAAGAAATATAATTAATGCAATGTTTTTTGTCTGTCTTTTGCATAGTCAGAAATATTAGGAAGAGAACTATAGTAGTAATCAGAAAATTTCTGTGAAACTTAAGCAAATCACATAACTGTTTCAAATATCTGTAAAAATGGCAATAAGCGTAACTTGCCTACTTACCCCAGGAGATTGTTGTGAAGATCAAATAAAATCATGCATGAGAAAAAAAAAAGATCATAGAACATGACCAATTGAAAATTATCCCTGCTATGCAAAAATGGCTCAACATAAGAAAGCCCATCAGTAAAATACACCACATAAACAGAATGAAGGACAAAAATTACATGATCATCTCAATAGATGCAGAAAAAGCACTTGAATTTACCTCAACACGATAAAGATCATATATAAAAATCAAACAGATAACATCACACTCAATGAAAAACTGAAAGGTTTTCTTTTCATATCTAAAGAAAGCAAGGATGTGGCCACTTCTATTTAACAAAGTACTGGAAATGCTAGGCAGAGCAATTAGGCAGGAAAAAGAAATAAATGACATCCAAATCAGAATCCAAAAAGTTAAGTTATCTCTGTTTGCAGATGACATGACCTTATAGGTAGCAAACCCTAAAGACTCCACACAAAACTGCTAGAACTTATAAACAAATTCAGTAATGTTGCAGGAAACAAAATCAGCATGTAGAAATCAGCTGTGTTTCTAGACGTCAACGAATTATTCAAAATGGAAATACAGAAAGAAATCCTATTTATAGTAGCACCAAAAGAGAATAAAATACTTAAAATAAACTTAACCAAGGAGGTAAAAGACTTGCACACACAAAAATATAAATCACTGATGAAAGAAATTAAGGTGGACACAAATTTTTTTAAAAGTTTTTATGAATTGGAGGAATTAAAATTGTTAAAATTTTCATACTAACTGATCTACAGAAACAACCAAATTCCTATCAAAATCCCAATGCATTTCTCACTGAAATAGAAAAAAAATACACAAAAATTAGGTTGGAACACTAAAGGCCTGAAGTAGGCAAATCAATTCTGACAAAAAAAGAACAAAACTAGAGTAATCATACTTTCTGATTTCAAAATACATTATAAAGCTCCAGCAATCTAACAGTACGGCACTGGCATAAAAATAAATATATAAGCCAATAGAATAGAATAGAAAGCCCAGAGATGAACCGATATATAGGCAGTTAATTGCTTTTCAATAAGGGTGCCAAGAATACACAAGGGAAGAAAAATAGTCTCTTCAACAAGGTATTTTCTAATCTCCCTGTGATTTCTTCTTTGACCTATTTGTTTTCTTTAAAGAGTATGTTGTTTAATTTCCATGTATTTGTGGATTTTCAAGGTTTTCTTCTGTTATTAATTTCTAGTTTTATTCCATTGTGATTAGAAAACATACTTTTTTAAGATTTCATTTTTTTTTTGAATTTATTAAGACTTTTTGTGGCCTAGCACATTGTTTATCCTGGAGAATGCTCCATTTGCACTTCAGAAAAATGTGCATTATGCTTGATTCTGGGTGTGTTGTGCTGTATATGTCTGTTAGGTACAACTGAACTGGTAAGTTTGGTATTTTAAGATAAATAAGCAATCATTGCGTCCAATTCCTCTAAAATGCAATATGTTAGGCAAATATTTACATGTCTCCCTATTGATATGTGTGTATTCTATCTTAAGCAAATAGACAACTTAAATATTTTATACATCATATATACATGTTAATAATTTTGAAAATGAAAAAAAAAACAATGAAATGCAAGATTTACCTACTATATCTATGAGAAAAAAATGTATCAACACAAGCATTGGTAATACATTTCTGATTCCAGGATGTTTCAAAATACTACAGTTATGTTATTTCCATGTTTACATGCTAAACAGCACCCCTATAAATCCACCCCATCAACTTGGCTTACTCCAAGCCACATTTATATGTTCAGTGGATAGCCAACACAAAAATGTATGCTGGTCACAAACACTAATTACATCTTTAAAAGGTGAAGACATCCCTTTTACCTTTTGTCAATCCCACATTATCAAGAGTGAAAGCCCTAAAATCTGTTTACTCATGTTTAGCCATTAAAAAGTGAATACCCTATCACCTTCTTCATGCAGCCCTTTACAGGTAAGAAACACAATATTTTTCCCACCGTCTGCACAAAGGTAGTGGGACTATAGGCTGAAAAGATAGAGGCTGTTTTTTTATTCTCACCTCCTCTCAGGTTAACAAGGAAAATCCAAACTGACCAAAGCAGTCTAAATGTTGCTCCCCATTTCATCTTTAAGAATCAGATAAAACAGGAAGGAGGGCAGAGGTTATGAAAATGTCTGGAACTGAGAAAAAATATTCCATGATAGATACCCATTCTTTTCTTACTGTGTAGTTTTATGAAGTGAAAACTTTGTGATCCATTTTTGCAAAAGAGTAAGTTGCATAAACAAGCACAAAGGCAACACAGGGCAATGTTCAGAGCAGCATGCTCAATATGAGAAAACATGTCTACTTGGATGGAATAAATAGCTTTTTCAGGGCCCTCTGCATGTCTGTGTTTCTCAGACAGTAGACAACGGGGTTCAGGCTGGGTGTGAGGATGGAGTAAAACACAGACACTAACCGTCCTTGAGTGGGAGAGTAGTGGGAAGTGGGTGTCAGATAAACAAAACTCCCAGTGACATAAAACAGAACGACAATGGCAAGGTGAGAAGAGCAGGTGGAGAAGGCCTTCCGACGGCCACCAGCAGAGTGGATCTGAGTGATGGTGGAGATGATGAAAACATAGGAGATTATGGTGAGGGCAAAGGCACCCAGAATGATGCACCCACCCACTGCAAATCCGACCTCCTCATTGATGTGGGAATCACTGCAGGAGAGTCTCATGATGGGAGAGCTGTCACAGAAGAAGTGGTCAATGATATTGGGTCCACAGAATGGGAGGGAGAACGTGTTGGCTGTGTGGAAGATGGCGTAGACAGTACCACTCCACCAGGCCACAATGACCAGCTCTGCACACAGCTTTCTGCTCATGATGACGCTGTAGAGGAGAGGCTTGTGGATGGCTAAATAGCGGTCATACGCCATGGATGTAAGCAAGAAGCACTCAGAAGCACACATCATTACAAATAAAAAGAGCTGAGCCACACATTCCCAAAAGGAAATGACTTCCGAGCCCATAAGTGAATTGACCAGTGCCTTGGGGACAGTGACTGAGGTGTAGCACATGTCCAAGAATGACAGATTCTTCAGGAAGAAGTACATGGGAGTGTGGAGGTGGCTGTCATTGGTCACAGCTGTGATGATGGAGATGTTCCCCAGGAGGGCAAAGAGGTAGATGAAAAGGAAAAACATGGCACTAATGAGCCTCATTTCAGGTGTGTCTGAGAAGCCCCTGAGAATAAATTCAGTCACAGTGGTCTTACTGTCATTTCCTTTCCAAATCATAGAGAGAGAGAGTGTCAAAGAATATTCAAAATGGTTGGGGTCTTAGTGATAATTAGCGCAAAGGACACAATCACAAAGTGGTCCCTAGAGGTGGTTGAAAATAAATCTGGTCCCAACCATGATTCATGATCCCCATTTGCTTTCTTTGCTTTGCTTTTTTCTCTTGCTGCTTCTCTTTTAAGTCTGAGAGACAACAAATTCTGAATAAATGAGAGAGAATAAACATGTATTTTTAAAGTAACTGGTTATGTACACATAATAAATAAGAAGCTTTGGAATAATATACATTACTTAATGCAAAAGATAAATGGCCTCACTCATTCAGTAATTATTCACTCAACTACTTTATATTCACCACATTGGGTAGATGTTGTTGGGGTAGGGGCAGGGAAATGGGTATAATTCAAATGCTCTCAGAAGTTGAAGAGATAATGTGAATGTCTGAGCAGGTCAGGAGAAGGTAGTGATGGGATGGGTTGAGTTAAATGTTGCTTTTATGAGATTTCAGGCATTGTGAGGGCAAATCTTTACATTTTTCAGTAAAAATAAATGTTCTGATTTTAGCATAGCATTTCCCAGTCCACCAAAGAAAACAACTGAAGGCTGGATCTGAGTCAGGGGCCTCTGTTACATGCATGAATATATTCAGCCACTGATTCTTCTCTCATGGTAGAAATCTTCCATGTAGGACAAAGTTCTGAAATATTAGGCACACAGCTGGTCTTGTTTCAGGACCTACCAGTGTTGTGACACCTGATGGGCTAGCTGTTCATCCCTCTCATTCCATCTGGACAGCATCATCAGGACCTTCACAGGACTTGCCATTTTTAAGTAAGAATGAGAAACTGAGTGTGGAACAAAGGACTCTGACTTGAGGAAGAGAGTCTGACTTGAGGAAGAGAGTTGGCTGACCTACCTCATTTGAATAAAAGAAAGCATTTACTCAGAAGTCAAAAACAATCTCAAAGGCTTGTATTCAACTAACAACAGTGCCGTAAAAACATTCTGGGAACCATTCAAATTTGATTTTTAAAACATCAATTTAAATTTTCTTTTGAGTCTGTCACCTCCACTACTTTCATTGTTTGTATCATACCTTATGTTTATTATGAATAAATAGATTTTACAAAAACATTCATCATTCTTAAAAGATTTGAACTATCATCTAACATTCTCTGTCAATCTTTATTTAAAAAGTAATAGTGGTCATTTCTGGGAATGGGATAATAATGATGCTTTTATTAAAAAGCAGAGTGAAAATGCATTGGCTTTGGGCCAGCCCAGTGGCGCACTGCTACAGTGCGCCGCTTGGGAAGCACGGTGGTGCTCCCGCCGAGGGTTCGGATCCCATGTGCAGACCGGCGGCACACTGGCTGAGCGAGGAGCGGGGGCAACACCAAGGGTTGCGATCCCGTTGCCGGTCACGAAAAAAAAAAAGACAAAAAGACAAAAAAAGAAAAAAAGAAAATGCATTGGCTTTGTAATCACATTTCTTAAAAAAATAAATATGGTAAAAACTACTTTAAAAATTAATTGGAAAGTTCTACTGTTCTAACCTCTTTAGGAAGCTATGAAGATATAAAGTATGAAAAGTATGAGTTTTGGAGAATGTATGTGTATTAGTTTGCTAGGGCTGCCATAACAAAGTACCACAGATTGGGTGGCTTAAACAACAGAAATTAATTTTCTCACTGTTCTGGAGTCTAAAGTCCAAGAACAGGATGTAGGCAGGGTTGGTTCCTTCTGAGGGCTATGAGGGGAGGATATATTCCAGGCCTCCCTCCTTGGTTTATAGATGGCCATCCTTTCCCTGTGTGTTCACATGACTTTGCAATGTGCCTGTTTTCTGTGTTCACATTTTCTCTTTTTACAAGGACACCAGTTGCATTGAATTAGGGCCCACAACAATGACTTAATTTTACTTTAAGTATCTCTTTAAAGACCCTACCTCTAAATACAGTCACATCTGAGGTATTAGGGGTTAGAACTTAAATATATGCATTTTGGAGGGGCACAATTCAACCCACAACAGCCAGTAAGGAACAAAGCAGATTACTGTTTTTGATCTTTGGAAAAGAAAGAATGAGATGCCCAAGGACTACCCATCTAAAAAGGCAGGAACTGGAGAAAGGATTCCTTGATCTGCATGACAATGACTGCCTGGGAAAGAGAGTCCGGACAGAGTGTCTCACTCTGGTTTACTTTTATCTGCCCTCAAGCACCAACTGAGTGTGGCTGTAATAATTAAAAGTGTGAACATCCCGATTTACTCCAATATCCACTCAAAGGAAATATTTAAAACCATATACTTTGAGAATCATAGGACTATGGCTTCAGAGTGGCCTGTGTTAATACGCAGCTTAGAATTTTGATAAGTTACTTAACATCTAAGCATAGTTTTTCATCTCTTAAAATTTAAAAAAAATAGTTATACTATGTCTTGGGCTTGTCTTGAGAGTTAGTAAAACTGTGCATCTAGCTCACTGTTTCTACCTAATGAAACAGTTTGGGCACAATGGCATCGGAGTCCCCTTCTGACATAATAGCCTCAGATTGCAAGTGAGAACCAGACAGAATGTCCAAGAATAGCCATAGAAAGCTTGCTTTTCGTAGTTCCAGCTGCCCACACTGTGCTCTTTGCTAAAGCCAACACTTGGCTCCGAAACGGCCAAGAACAAACCAGTGTCTTCACCCAGCATGCTACTCCTTCCCACCATTGTTGCCTCAGCAGACCCCCACCACCACCCACACCTCAATACAATTAAGGTGTTATCTATGCACTGTATGGCTGGATTAAAAACTAAATCTTCTCTTATCAGTGAAAAATATTTACCTCTACTTCCGTCATTTTAGACATTAATG